AAAGGCCAAGGCACAAAACAAGATCAAACTAGCTAGAGACATAAAGGGTAACAAGAAAACATTCTACAAATACATTAGAAGCAAGAGAAAGACCAAGGACAGGGTAGGCCCGTTACTCAATAAGGGGGGAAAAACAGTAACAGAAAACGTGGAAATGGCAGAAGTACTTAATGATTTCTTTGTTTCAGTTTTCACCAAGTACAGGAGTGGTGGTGATTGAATGTCTAACATAGTGAATGCCAGTGAAAATGAGGTAGGATCAGAGGCTAAAATAGGGAAAGAACAAATTAAAAATTACTTAGACAAGTTAAATGTCTTCAAGTCACCAGGTCCAGCTGAAATGCATCCTAGAACACTCAAGGAGCTGATTGAGGAGATATCGGCGCCATTAGCAATTATCTTTGAAAAGTCATGGAAGACAGGAGAGAAGACTGGCACTATATTTGCCCTTTTCCAATCTAAAAAAAGGGAAATAAGGGCAACCTGGAGAATTACAGACCAGTCATCTTAACTTCTGTACACTGAAAGATAATGGAGCAAATAATTAAGCAATCAATTTGCAAACATCTAAAAGATAACGTGATAAGTAGCAGTCAGCATGGATTTGTCAAGAACAAATCGTGTCAAAACAACCTGATAGTTTTCTTTGACAGGGTAACATGCCTTGTTGTTAGGGGGGAAGTGGTAGACATGGTATATCTTGACTTTAGTAAAGCTTTCGATACTGTCTCGCATGACCTTCTCATAAACAAACTAGGGAAATGCAACCTATAATGCTACTATAAGGTGGGTGCAAAAATAGTTGGAACACCATTCCCAGAGAATAGTTATCAGTGGTTCACAGTCATGCTGCAAGGGCATAATGAGTGGGGTTCCACAGGAATCAGTTCTGGGTTCGGTTCTGTTCAATATCTTCATTAATGATTTAGATAATGGCATAGAGAGTACAGTTATAAAGTTTGCAGATGATCCCAAGCTCTGAGGGGTTGCAAGTGCCTTGGAAGATAGAATTAAAATTCAAAATGATCTGGACAAATTGGAGAAATGGTTTGAACTGAAGTAAATAGGACGGAAGTCAATAAGGACAAATGCAAAGTACTCCATTTAGGAAGGAACAATCAGTTGCATACATGCAAAAGGGGAAATGACCGCCTAGGAAGGAGTACCGCAGAAAGGGATCTGGGGGTCATAGTGGACCATAAGCTAAGTATAAGTCACCAGCATAACAGTTACAAAAAAAAAAGCGAACATCATTCTGGCATGTATTAGCAGGAGTGTTGTAAGCAAGACATGAGACGTAATTCTTCTGTTCTACTCCGTGTTGATTAGGCCTCAACTGGAGTATTATTCAGTACTAATTCTGGGTGCCACATTTCAGGAAGGATGTGGACAAATTGGAGAAAGTCCAGAGAAGAGCAACAAAAAGGATTAAAGGTCTAGAAAACATGACCTATGAGGGAAGATTGAAAACATTGGGACATAACAGTTTTCAAGTACATAAAAGATTGTTACAAGGAAGAGGGAGAAAAATTGTTCTTAACCTCGGAGGCTAGGACAAGAAGCAATGGGCTTAAATTACAGCAAGGGAGGTTTATGTTGGACACTAGGAAAACTTCCTAACTGTCACGGTGGTTAAGCACTGGAATAAATTGCCTAGAGTGGTTGTGGAATCTCCATCATTGGATATTTTTAAGAGCAGGTTAGATAAACACCTGTCAGGAATGGTCTATAATACTTAGTCCTGCTATGAGTGCAGGGGACTGGACTAGATGATCTCTCGAGGTCCTTCCAGTCCTATGATTCTTCAGTAAACTCAAACTGGAGGTCCAAGAAAAGATCTCTCCCTCCTCCCCCCAAGTGTGAACTGCATTAACAGAGAATTAACATTTAAATTAATGGACATAATTTTCAATGGAGCAAGATTCTGACAATTTGATGGAAAGCTTTGGTTGCCCTGTAAACAACATAACAGAACAGCGTTTTCATACAGTTAGTACTCCAGATGACTGGGTTTTTTTTTAAATTGCAGAATACTTGTATTTAACTTCAAGAATGTCACAGATGCAAGTGATTATTCACCTTCTAGAGTCAGTGAATTTGCAAGTATAATATGGTCTCCTCCTTTAAAGAGAAGAACCAGTTTCTAAAGCACAGGTCTCTCACTACCACACACATACATGACAGAATGAAGATATAATGGTATCCGATGAGAAGGCGGATCGGCGGGTAGTGATCAATCCCCGATCGCTCTGCCATTGACTCCTGTACTCCACTGCGGCGAGAGGCGGAGGCGGAAGCGGAGTCGACAGGGAAGCAGAGGCAGTCGACCCCATGCCGTGAGGACGCAAGGTAAGTTGACCTAAGATATGTTGACTTCAGCTACACTATTCTCATAGCTGAAGTTGCGCATCTTAGGTCAATCCCCCCAGTGTAGACCAGGGGTTAGAACAGTGGTTCCTAAACTGGGGTTCATGAACCCCTAGGGATTCACGAAATGTTACAGGGGGTTCTCAGGAAAAAATTCCCGAATTGCAGACAGAGCTGTCCCTAGGGGTCCCAGGCAGCACGGGACCAGCAGCCCGGAGCCCCAGGGACTTCCAAGAGCTATGCAGATCAAAGCAAGCGTATCTATCACACTGAGGAGATTTAAACTTCAAGACTCCTTATAAGAAATGGAAAGCGAGATGAATATTTTTTTGCTGTTTTTAAAATTAAATAGGCTACTAGTATTGTTTTTAAAATTATTATGAAGAACAAGTTTAAGCTTTGTTGTAACGTGCGTTGTTTGCCTGGACTGCTCAAGACCTGAATGTTGTGTATGAGGAACTCTTTGAGTTGGCTTCTTAAATACCTTCATGCTGTTTCACATCTGATACTCCTTGATGAAACCTAGGAGTTTTGTCTTATAAGAGGCTTAAGCAAAGTGATACAAGCTACAAAAGTGAGATCTTGGAAGAGTGTTACCGTTTTCATCATGTAATAAAATACTATAATGATAAATAATAAATAGTGTGTAATAAGCATGTCATAAAAACAAATTTTATACTTCCAAGATCACTGCTTTTATACTTTATCCTCAGGTAAGGGAGAAAATCCCTGGAAATATTCATTTTTAGGAGGGGGTTCGTGAGACTTGACATTTTAGTGAAAGGGGTTCGCGGGTTGTTAAAGTTTGGGAACCACTGCCTTAAAATGTTAGCTACATGAAAAAGAGAAAAACTAAAAGAAAACGTTACCAAAAAATAGAACCAAACATCCACCCCCAAAACAACAAGAATTTAAAATTACAGCATCAGTAGCAGTAATATCAGTCTTTCTAAAATACTTTAATCCAGTTCAATTATTAATGCAAAGGGGAACTTGCATTTTACTTGGAGTCAGATCAATTACCTGCAACAATTCCCTGACTAGCAAGCACCATAATGGCTGTTAAGCCAACGCTGAATATAGCGCTTTGCCCAAAGTTCAGCATAGCTAAGGTAGAGGTAGTCTTCAGTGAGGCATTTTCATAGGTCTTCAAAAATCCATCATATCGCTGGGCTTCATATTTTTCATTATTGAAATACTACAAGATAGATAAAGGTAGAAAGTTGTGACATTCTCAAAATTGTACTTGAGTCAGCTAAACAGAAGATTAATTGTAACATGTTACATCAGTCAGGGCTTCAAAAATTTATTAGATATCTACTCGGTGGGAGATTAAACCTAATACCCAGAGACAGGTCCAAAAGGTGGGATACAGAAGCCCAACCAGCAAGGGCCAGGGCCATGACCTGGTGAGAAGACCAGAGCCCACCTGGCATCTACACCAGATTGCTGTTCTGGGACCTAGCTCGGGTGCTTCATCTTTTGTGTTGGTTAACCATCTTCTCTATCTGCCAGAACTTCCCTAATGCTGTGAGGATGGCACGGTCCTCATGATTTTACTCCTCATTCAATCTCCCTTGATGGGTCCTTCTCCACAGATCACTTCGCTACTTGTCTCTCTTTCTACTTATAGCTTTCCCAAGCAGTAGAAGCATGAAACTGATACGACTCTGGACAGTTTCAGGGTTGCCCACAGGAATCTGTGCCGGTCCCTTCTCACTGCTGCTATTTACTCTTTTTCATGCAGATACTGTGGTTGAGGTACAGTGTTAGGAACAGTGCACATGCACTAGAATTGTCCATCTGCTGACTCAGAAAGACACCATCAAAATGGTTTACATTCAGAAGATGTTTTTTGCAACCATAAAGGATAGGGGATTTTTGTTTTGTTTTTAACGAACGTTTAAAATTTGCAGAAATTTTCATTTTAGGCTCAAGCACTCACTAGGGAAAATTTCCCACTTGTCACTGAGGAATGGATTTGTCAATCCCGGCACACAGTTTTCACACTACCTAGTTTAGACCATTATCCATTTTAAGAGAACTATGTTTTTACAACATATTATTGGTCTGAATATGTGACCATATGGCCTCACTTCACCTAGGCTGGAAATGAACACCAAAAAGCAACACTTCCCCCAAGCCAGCTTTCTGCTTCTACAAATGCCCAAAGAAACATTTCTTGCACATCAATTTAGACATTAGCTTGGGCATCTAGTTCTCAGACTGTGGTCCATGGACTACCAATGGTTTTCATGTCCCTTCATGGTAGTCTTCCTGCAGCATAACACATTTGAGGTCCACGCTTTGGGGGATTATGACAGCACATAATCCATGTGAGGATCTCTCTTTTACAAAAGTGCTCCACAGACAGGAAAAATTGGAGAACAGCTGGAATAAGTTATTCCCCAGACTTTATCATTCATAATTTAGATACTGTTTTAACTGCAACTATCAGGAAATGGAGCTGCAGTTCCAAAAAGTGGAGGATATTGTAAGCCAAAAAATGAAGGAGAATAGGGGACAGGGATTGATACTAAAAGTTGCTCTCTCAAACTGAACACCCCTAAACTCACTTTGAATATATAGATGTTAGTAGGTAATTATATTGTATACCATAATGTTCAAGATGGTAAAAAGAGATTTAATGTCTTACCTTCACAGTTTCATAATTTAACAGCGAGTCAATTGCAGCATTACCTGCATCATTATCTGCTTTGTTCATTTCTATTCTAAATTTAGTCCTGTAAAATAAAGGTTTTCACAGTCAAAGAGTATTGGTTGCAGTGAGAAGAATAATCTTTGAATCCTGACCTGTTTTGAGGAATGCCTTACCTCCACTGTGTAACTCCTATCGTGAATGCTGTATATGCACCGAGTGTCCCCAGGGCTACAAATGCAAATGGTGCACCGCATTTATAATACTGGAAGGAAAAAATGCTAATCGTCAGTATGACTTAATACACCAATATTATTTCAAAAGTATCACAGCATTCAAAAGTTGGGTAGGTCCCTCCCAAAGCAGATTAAAAGACACAGCCCTTGCCCTGAACAGCTTATAAAATAATATCAGGCTTGATCTAACCAGGGTAACAGGAAGGGAGCTGGCAAAGGAAGGACAGAGGTAACATCAATAAGATAATGAAACAACTCAGCAAGGGCTAGTGCACAAAATGGTAAGGAAGGGCTTTTAAAACTTCTTGTCTTAATAGAATAAAGTAATTAAGTGTCTTAGTTTGCAAATTTCTTGAAGGCTTTGCAAAAAAGGTGAGTCTTGATTGACAGAGTAGCGGCCTTGGAAGGATGTTTCCACTGAAACCCACTCTTAGTATGCATAGCTTTTGGAGACCTTGAGAAAGAAAGGCTGTAGAAGGCTGCGAGAGAAGCAGATGAATGGGGTATCAAGGCTGATGTCTCTGGCAGGGTGGATATAATCAAATGATAGCAAGACAGAAATTCACAACTTTCTAGGCTGAAACAGTTAATCAAATTATTTAAACAAAAATGTTCGTAAGGTGTAGAATCAAATATTCATGTAATAATCCAAGGTAAGGGACAACACATACAAAAAAATAATACTGAAGACAAAGGGCTAAAAATTAAATTGAAAACTCATAGGTTTTTTCCTGTATTCATCCAGTTTACTTTACGCATTTGACACAACTTTATGTATAGTCATTTTGCCCTTTTGACTTCGTGGGTTTTTCCATACAACAGGAGAGACAGAAAACATAAAAAATCATATAAATGTGACTGTAAAAACTACAAATTAGAAGGGTTTTCAGAGGCATGTATTGTACCTAAAGTTAGTTTAAAACAAACAAGTTTAAAATAACTAAGTTTAAAACTGATAGTGTGCTCTCCTTTAAGTTTTCAGTACAGCTACCTGGCAAATGCTGTGTTTATTTAGTAAGTTTTGTTGCAAAAAACTTAAATGTTCGATATTATTCCCAAAAAGTGAGGCATGATCCTTCCAATTTACAGAATGCCTCATGAAAAAGAAACACTTACCAGAATTCCACTCACAAGTGCCATTTCAAATACGGTGGGTCCCAGATTAAATACTAAAGCACTCAGCACAAAGCTGATGCCCCTTGTTCCCCTGTCAATAGCTTTTGACAGAGCTCCTGTCTGTCTGTCCAGGTGGAAACCCAAATCCAGGTTATGCAGATGGAGAAAGACATTCTTTGCTATCCTTCTGATAGAATTTTGGGCTACTTTCCCAAATACTGCATTTCTCGCTTCATTAAATAAGGCAGCCCCAGCTCTTGACACACCATCTGAAGGAGGATAATAAAAGAACATTTTTTAAAGTCACTTATTTCACTCAACTCCAAAACTGCCTTGGATAAATAAATATGACAGAAGTTAAGATGTTGTTCCTCCCCTGTATATGACAGCTTTTATGCAAAGGGTAAATCATAGCATTTATTGCTCCAAGATTTCATGTACTTTGGGGGTTTATTCATTTTTAATTTGGCTTTTGTTTGTCTAAATCTACTGGGATGGGTCAACTTGTCAAAGGAGGATTCATTATTGGAAATAATTTCTATAAGCAGCATTTTTTTCAGAACTGGGGTAACAGAACTAAGGCCACAGAAGGCTTGATATCAACAAAAGTAGGAAAATATAATATTAGAATAACCATCTCCAATGCTTAGCAGCTAAAAAGGTCATGAGCTCTAATATTCCAAAACCTTACTGAAGAAAGTCAACACCTGTCGACAGATTAAGGAATCACACTTACAGCCAATCAGAACAGCTGTTGCCATGGTTGCAACTGTATGTGGTGCATCACTCAGGTTCAGCATGTTTCCAGACATCTGGTTGAGGTTGTCTACTGCATATTTAAACATGAAGGGAACCACTATATTCATGCCCTAAAAGCATAAAAACAGCAATTACCTAGGATGTGCTAAAATGTTTATTTATAAAGTATACATATTTCCCTTGAAATAACTACAATTATTGCATTTGGTTATTAACCACTTAGTGCCAGTGGGATGGCTCTCCTGATTTCAAAAACAATATTCTCTGCATTAGGAATTTTCAACTTCCAAGATAGAAGGATTACTTCATGCTTCCCACTAGCTCCTTTTAAAGATCAGCTTTTGTCCTAACTAAATGGTTCACTGAAAAAAACTTGAATTCATTATGAAGACTCATTCAAACAATGGCAAGACTGAGAACGATAAAGTATCAAGATAAAGTATCACGACTGCACAGTGTACATTTACAACAGGGGTGAAAGTAACTTAAAGACTTACCAGTACTCCGGAGTCCTTAGGAGGGGGTGGGGCCTCAACCAGAGGAGGCGTGGCCTTTAAATCCCAGGTGCTTTAAATCAGGATTTAAAGGGCCCTGGGCTGGGGCTGGGGTAGCAGCAGCTGGGGACCCCGGGCCCTTTAAATCACTCCCGGATCTACCAGCTGCAGAGGCAGCTGGGAGCCCCGGGGGTGATTTAAAGGGCCCAGGCCCCAGCTGCCGCTACCACAGCGGAGCCCCCGGCCCTTTAAATCACCATCAGAGGGGGGCTCCCGGCTGCCGCAGCTACCCCAGGACCCCGGTCTCTGGCGGAGCTTTAAAGGGCTTGGGGCTAGGCTGCAGTAGCAGCAGCCGGGAGCCCTTGGGCCTTTAAATCACCACCAGAGCCCCCCCGCCGCCTCCCCAGAGCTCCGGCAGCAGGGCTCTGGTGGCAATTTAAAGGGCCCCGGGCTCCAGCTGCTGCTGGGTGCCCCAGGCCCTTTAAATTGCTGCCAGAGGAAGCCAATCTGCCCCAGTACGGCGCACCGGCTCTTGCCTGCTTTCACCTCTGATTTACAGTGTCATTAAATTATGAAAGAATTTTAGCTAAAAATATTGCAAGGTAAAACAGTGGAAATGATCAGTGGAGTGAGCTACTCATTAAAAAAAAAAGGTTAACTCTGGACCAGTTTCAGAGAGGTGTTAAATACCTGAAATTCCCACTGACTTCAAACAAAGTTGAGAGGTCGGTCCTTTGTCTTGTCCAACAGTATTATCACTTCTTATTTATATGGTGCTCTCAATTTTCAAGGTGATTTCAAATCTTTTTACCTAGGTTAATCTAACTATTCTCCACAGTAATGTAACATAGTTCCCTTAACGATCTACAAATGCATTACTTAACAAGTCACTTTGACATGAAATATTCAAATCATAGCATATATGGTATGCTACTGAATATTCTGTAAGAGGGGGAAAACAATGGAATTTGCTGTACATATAAGAAAGAAGAAGGCTGGTTAAGTTGATAAAGGATTTCTTAGGAATTTTCACTTGCATACATTAAAAGCTAAAACGTGAAGATTCTGTAAGGCTTAAGAAAACAAATATCCCAAATCTTGTTAATGTTCCATTATTATGCCATTCATTTATAGCAACTATAAAGACGTTACTGTCAACAGCCTTAAATTTTATCTCCAACTGATAAAATTATTCAGGGATTTAAATTGTTTTTAACAATGAAGGTTTCAAACTAAGATATATGAGTTTCTTAGCAACTGAACAGATGCCTTACGACTCAATATCTTTAACACACGCCAGATGTTAAGATACCTTTACAATGAACTGACTTTGCATAGATGCTTTGCAACTAGAAAAAAAAAAGGCAATGAAAAACAAATTAATCTTACAGGTAGATCACCTATCAACTTTCAGTGCGTTATCTAGTTAGTATCAGGAGAGGTGATTTGTAAATGAAGCAAACCAGCCCCTCTTCAATTACAAAAATTCCAGCTCTCCACCCCAAATGCATAGTAATATAACAGCATCTAGAGGCCTTAATCCTGATTGGGCTCCATTGTGTTAGGGACTGTACAGACTAACTAGACATCCAAGCAATGAACACTAAAGTTTTCAGTGAAAATGGATAAAAATCGCACTGCAGCACAAGTTTAAGAATAGGTTTTTATAACATACACTAAAAACATCTGACGTTGCAAAAGTTCATAACGATAAAAATTGTTAGCAAAGGGGACAATAGAAGTTTGTCCACTGGAAGAAAATGGAGCTTTGAAGGTGCCAGTTTTTGATAGGATTCAAGGAAAATTATTTCAAGGGATTTCGTTTGGGTTTTTATTTTTACTTCTAAAAAAGGAACCATAATTTGCCTAAAACTCAACTGTGAAAAAACCCTCAAAATACAGCACGATATAGATAATCCAGAGAAGAGACTATCTAGATGCATTTATATTGATTAGCTCATAGCAAATTCTGACAGAAGGCCTGATCCTGAAGTCCTTGCTCATGATAAGCTCCTTACTCCTAGTAAGGAGTGCAGGACTGGGCACCAAATCAGCAACTCTCACTCCCTTTCCAATAGTTTGCAATTGTGGAATTTTTCATAAAAATAAAGATGCAAACCTCAACTTGTATGCAAAAAGCTAACAATATCTCCCAAATGGCTACAGTGACTGGCCTCTCCAGTAGCTGGCAGAGAAAGAATAAACAGGTCATTGTAGTTAAGATAAACTTTAGATGCACTAAAAAACAAAAAACCCATCCCTGAAGAACTGTGGATGTGCTAAAGATTTTTTAAGCTTTAAAGTAGAAATATAGTTTTGGAATCCAAATTTCCACATATACCCTTCAAAAAAAAATTATAAGATAGATAGATAGATAGATAGATAGATAGATAGATAGATAGATAGATAGATAGTCAGTCACTCCCTTTGGAGTTACTTGTCTTGAAACTCAATTTTCTGTAGTATTTAGTTTTTAATAAGGCACAGTATTATACCATCTGTGTTACAGTGATGACCACCACTGTAAAATGCAGGTTTTCCTGGAAGACCCTAATCAGTAAAAAAGAAATGTATTGTAATGTAGATTGCCCTGATTTGCTGCAGATTCTCTCAAATCCCTCTGCAAGGATTTTACTTTTCAACGGGCTACACTGTATGATGTTTTAAAGTACACTTAAAACAGTATCTGCAGTTCTATTTCTAACTAAAACAGTTTATTCCTTATACTGCAGTTCTCAACTTGCAATTGTCAACAGATTAGTATACAATTTTGCATTCTTGCAAACTAATATACGGTAATTCAATCCAAAAGACTGTTTTAATAAAATGTAAAGGTGTGCCTCAGGTTACCATTGTTCTGACTCCCTGAGGGTAAAACTTCAATAAGAAAGCACGGTATTATATTTCATTCATAATCAACTCAGTCTATATTCCCATTACCTTATTTGTTTTTTTTGTTTTGTTTTTAGATAAAGAAATTTGTTAATCTCACTAAGATGAGAGAGAGAGAGAGAGAGAGTCTGTGCGTGTTGGTCATTAAAACAGGTCTTTTCTCAGTGTGGTAAGCTAACATGAAATCATGTTCACATAACGGGAACTAAATTTAAATCGCTTAAATTCTAGACAAACTCATCTACCCCTTTAGTAGGCTTAATTTGCTGGCACAGAATTCAAAAGCTCTAATTGAATCTGGATATTCTGTACCAAAGAAGCCTGCTATAACAGATGAGTTAATCTTTATATGTTCTCTGAACTTTTGCATTGCTACAAGTGCCAATGCCACCTATGGGATCGATCCCTCAGGAAAAAAACTGTAGAGTCTTCCTACATAATTATTTTCTTGCATAACTCTCAAATAATATACTCTTTAGAAACATCTCTTTTTAAAGAGATTGGTTGTTAATTTTATTTTTATAATGCAAATGTACACACGTCAAGTTTTCACACAATGGTAAAACTAGTGAGAATAATTCTTATTAAAGGACTCAACCCAAGCATTCATAGAACTCTGTATATATTTTTACCATACAAATTTTGAAATAAAAGCTGTGGTCCAAATTCACTGATGGTGTAAGCAGGTGCAACTTCATTTGCTTCAATAAAGTCACCCCTTTTTATACTGCTGTTTAATTTGAGCCTGTAAGAATTGTACAATTAAGCACAAGTTTCAGGGTAGCAGTTAATACTCAACTACAAAATTATAAATAAGGTTTAAATGTTTTTAAAATAAGATTGTATTACTTTAAAGGCAGCACAGCACCATCTACAGAACAGAAAAGCATACAAAACAGAAGTTTGAGGTTTTGCGAATTAACATAAATAAATCCAAATTACTTCCTTCTATCCAGTCCCCAGTGCATCCTGTCTTCTCTTTTGATCTTAGATTGTAAGCTCTTTAGGGCAGAGACAGTCACATTTGTGTCTTGTACATTCCACTGTTCTTTTCTTAATAGATGATGATGATGGGAGAACAACTGAGATCAACCAAGTAATGTGATAAAAACAGTCCAAGGTTAACTCTTTTTTCACATGGACTCAGACTAATAGACTTTAAGGTCAGAAAGGACCACTATGATCATCTAGTCTGACCTCCTGCACAATGCAGGCCACAGAATCTCACCCACCCACTACTGTAACAAATCCTAACCTATGCCTGAGTTATTGAAGTCCTCAAATACGGGTTTAAAGACCTCAAGGTGCAGAGAATCCTCCAGCAAGTGACCCATGCCCCACGCTCCAGAGGAAGGCGAAAAACCTCCAGGGCCTCTGCCAATCTGACCTCCAGTGCCTCTGCCAATCTGCCAAGTCTATGTAACTTAGATACAATGTTCAAACAGTTATTTAACTTGAAATGCTGATCTAGTTATAAATTAGCTTTAGAGCGGTCTGCAATACTAAAAGGGTCTGTAATATTTGTGTATAAAAAGCAGAGCATAGGATACAACACACCAGATAGAGATCAGTCAAGTCTGGTACCCAGGAAATTTTGAACACAGTAAGTGTAGTGGTCAAGTGGCAGCACAAAGTGCTATGTGCGGGTGAGTGAGCTTTGATCGCCTATCTCTCGACCAGCTTGAAGGCCCTCCTTTCCCCCACTTCCGCATTTCAGTGACAAC